TCTGGGCACCAAACTCTCCCTTCATCATAGAACTTGGCCCAAGAGTACAAGGGGACTTCAAAAGTTTCCTGGAAAACAGAACTAACAGACAAACTTATCTTGTTACAAAAAAAGTTTGAAATCCATGCATGATTTTAATGATGCATTCTCCATGAATTTTTGAAGACCCTTGCGTTTCCCACAGGAACCCCAGTCACCCTCACTGCAAGGCCACTGTGCCTGGGTTTGTTCAGGTGACAGCCTTCCCTCCTTACCCACCTTCCCACCCAGCACATGGAGTTAGGCCTCTTGACCTTAATTATAGGAATTAGCCCAAGATAGCTTAAGCAAAAAAAAAAAAGTGGGATTTGTTATAAGAGAAAAAAATTGTCTGGGGATAAACAAGGTCAGGAATGCAGGTGTGGCTGAGACGGCCATCTGGTCTGTCTCTCCTCTCTGCCTCTCTGCATTGCCTCTTTATTCTTCTCCCCTTAAGGATTCTTTTCCTTTGATCTCTGGTCCACATGGTACAAGACACCGTCATTTTCAGCTCCCAAATTACAATCCAGCTACTAAAACGCCAATTGCCATGATGCAACTTCCAGATGTCAGGAGAAAGAACTTGAAGAGGCCATGATGGCAGCATGTGGCTGATCTCTTCGAGCTCCTCCAGCACCTGCAGCCAAGAAGGTGGTCTCCTGTTCACAGTGGCTGCTAGGGTCTGTGCTAGGGAAGGGCCTGGGTGCCTTTCAGAGAGATCCCTGCACACAATCAGCTTCTTCCTCCTTGTTAATTAACCGTTTTCTGAGAACTGTGCTCACAATGAGAAAGGTAAAGCTGGAATCAGAGAAATAAAGGCCATGGTGATGGCTTGTAACTGCTGTCACCGGGATTGGCAGAGTGAGAGCCATAGCTGTGTTCTTAGTGCCACCATGGTGCCTGGCACTCAGTGGGAGTGGGGAAACTGCTTGCTAAACTGTGCCTAACCTCAGGGGGAAAGCACTGTCCATCACGTCCCCTGTCTGGTGGGGGAAAGAAGAGAATGAAAAGAAAGAGCTGAGAAGGAAATAGTCTCTAGATTAACATATCAGAAATGGAGCTAAATGATATGCTGGATAAACATTTCTTGTGTCTAGGATTTGGAAAGTGGCACTAGTTCCTAGAGAAGTCTTTTTTAAGGTTGTTCAGGCAAATCCTGGGTAGAATCCAAGAAGCTCTGCATATTAAACAATATCTGTTTGCAATGGAAGAGCCTGTCTCCTATAGGCAAGCTGAGAAAGAGTAGGCAATTCCATGAGCTGTCAATAAATAGATTATTCTCTATATAGATGTCTTCCTATTCTAAAACTGCATTTCCTTTGGGGATCATTGAAATGGAGATATTTTAAAATATATGTACTTGTTTAGATATTTTGTTTTTTAGAGCTTCATGTTTGTCATTTTTTATTCATTGTGCCTCTTTGTAAGACATATGATTCATTCACCTGGACTTTGTATACCTTATTAAATAGACATAAGTAAGCAATTTTTGTCACAGATGGATAGTAAGGCAGTAACAAAGGCTTCTTTCAATTTGGGATCTGATGGGTAAGCTTCCTGTTAAGGTGTTATTTGTTCTCATTCAAGTGACTTTACTTAAAGTGGAAGATTAGATTAAGTGATCCCTGAAATTAGATAGTTTTCTGGGATGCAAATTTAAGACATAGATCAAAATATGAGGAAAACTTCTTGGAAAAACACTCCACAATGTTGCTGCGGCATTATTTATAATAGGAGAATTAGAGGAACAGCCTAAATACCCAACATCACAAAAACGCTCCCATGAAGTCATGGCCTTTCCCAGCAAGGATATGGTAAGATTATTAAAATTTTTGAAAACTGCGTAGAAATCCAAAATGTATACAATACGGTACTCACTGCACACTGCTGTACATTTACGTATGAAATAAAGGCTGTCAGAAATACATCAAAATGTTAACATTCATTGCATTAGGGCCAATGCACTAGACATGCCCAAATGTGCCCAATGTCAAGCACGTCCCTTGATATTAAAGATAGAGATTTAAGCACATGTGGCAAAGAAAATATGATAACATGTCATCACAGGTTAGAGCTACAACACGTAATCACAGGTTGCACTGAGGAGGTGGCCCTGGGGAACCACAAGCAAGGTTCTGGCAATCAAGTCTCATGTAATATTGAGCTCATGAGCTACAGTAGAAGCCTACAGCCCAGGCTTCATGTCTGCGGGATCTGCATGGCTACATTGAGCCAACTGCAGATAGAAAAGATTTAGAAACAAAATAATACATTGTGGTTGACCTGCGTTAGGCCCACACTGTGCATCTGTGTACTGATCATTCATAGAACTTCTGGTCACTGTATCCTAAATGATACAGTATAACAACTATTTACATTGTTTTAGGTATAAGTAGCCTGAGATGATTCAAAATACATGCGAGGGTATTGCAGGTTATATGCAAGCACTATACCATTGTACATAAAAGACTGAGGTACCCACAGATTTTGTTATCCACAAGGGTCTTGTACCCAGCCCACTCAGCAAAATGAGGAAAGATGGTAGTATGCACAGTAGGAAAATGGTAGTGCCAGTCTGCCTGGGACAGACAACACGTAAAACCCAAATCAGGTGGGTTATGTGAAGGAGTCACAAAGGACAAGGGGGAAAGCTGCTTGGGGACCTGAGGACAGTCATTTGGAAAAGGAGGAAGCTCTAAGTTGCTGTGGTTAAAGGGAGCAGGTGGTTTGTAGGGTTCCATGGGGAGAGTTACGACCCGTGAATGGAGGCCCTGAGATCAGTCTCGGGTAACAGCAGAGCTGCCTCTGGAGCAGGCAAATGCCCACCACTGGGGACTCGCAGTGTGCATCGTCAGGGCTGGGGATACTGGGCAGGGATCGGAAGGAATGCGCCTGAGCATTGAGTGTCTCATGGACCCTGGGGGAAGAAGGCCACGGGGGGTGTCCAGCAAGAAAACTGTACCACGGGACCTTTTTACAGGGTAGTTTTTAGGGGGCTGTTTAACCCCATTACGTTCTTAATGTAGTCCCACTAGAGCTACCTGTATCATTTAGACACCGTCTGCTTCCCTTGATATTCCTGTTTGGCCACCACAGTTTCTGTTCCCTGATGTTCTGAGCTGACACCTTCCCTTTACAGAGAAACTCATGGACAAGGCTTTATAGCCTCCATAATTAACTCAAGTGAGTAGGCAGAGCTAGGACCAATGGACAGCCATGTTTATTTCTGCATTTTTCCAGTCATGGAAGCAATCTTCACTCACTAAAGACAAACAGAAAAAATGTAGCAAAGTGAAGGATAGAAAAAATGCTACTTAAATAGAACAGTAACCAATTAAAATTAACATTCCAGAAATTACTTTCTTACCTTATCCTATGCCCTTGTAGCACACAGATTAAAATTTTAACTTAAGAGAGATCTTTCTGTGTTCTGTCTTCTAGTAATTAACTGAGTTTATTAAAGAGTTAAATACTTCCACACAGACTGGGAACCATCTGTAAGAAATGCTGCACGGGGCTGCCTTCTTTAGGTAAGAAGATGATCTAGACCGGTGGTTGAGAAGCATTTTTCCATAAAGGACCAGACAGTAAATATTTTAGGCTCTGTGGGTCATACAGCCTGTATTCCAGCTCCTCATCTTTGCTGTTGTGGCACAAAAGCCACCAGAGATGATGGACACACAGATGAGTACAGCTGTGTTCCAATCAAACTTGGGTTACAAAAACAGGTGGTGGGGCACATTGAACTCACAAGCTCTGATCTGCCAACACCCTGAATGAGCCAAATGACTTAGCTAGACCAGAGAGCCTACTGGACTCTTATAGCCTCATAAGCCTTGGTATAACAAAGCTTCAAACTCCACTCAAAACTAGCAAGGGAGAGTTCTGACAGTCTCCTGTGGACACGTGAATTGAGGGAAAGCTTCAGCATGTCAGCTGAGACAGGTCTTGTCAGGCAGACTCAACCTCTTGGTAATTAGTCACCAGGAACCCAAGGTAGACGGCTGAAGAACAAATGGTGTTGAGAACGGAATGTGATTAAAGAGTGAAGTCATTTGTAGCATGGCAAGACAGAATCTGGGCAAGAAGAATAAAGAACAAACATTTATGATGAATTTAGCTCAGTGTCTGGCATCTAAGTGCCTGATAAGTAGCGGCTAAATGACTCACTTGTTCCATCATGCTTAAATCACTCCGTCCATACAGTTATACATCAGAAGACACTTTTGAGTCCTTCACTGCCAGGGACTCTGCTAGGTGCCGATAACACGACAGGAAATAAGATCTAGAACAATAACAAGCAATCCACATGAGGACGAGATCATGTGGGAGATGGTCATGACCTCCGTGGCTAAATGGGATGGTGAAGTGAGAAATTAGGTGCTGCAGGAACACCATGGGCGTGGGCCCGAGTCGTTCTGAGTACTCAGGGGAGCATGCCCAGAGCAGGTGAGAGCTGAGGCAGTCCTGAGCATCAGTGGGGTCAGCTTGGCAAGAGGTGTTTCTGGGAACAGGGGAGATTTCTAGGTTTTTCTAAGCAGAAAAGCCTTGTGGGTGAGGGCAGTTGTGGGACTTTCTAGAGATGCAAATGAATTAGTCTGAAAAGGAGGCAGCGAGCTCTTGTAAGCAGAGAAATAACTTGGCAAGATCTGCATTTTGGAAAGACCAGCCAAATGTCATTGTTGTTGGAGGATTTGCACCAAAACCTTGTTAGTTACTTCTTGTTGAGAGCTAGTATGGGGTTCCGTTAGAAGGCAGGCCTCAACCCACTAGAACAGACATGTGTGAAGCAGAGTATAGAGTTGTAGCCAAACAAATAGTAGCAAGGCAGTTCTGGTAACGTTCTGCTTTCCTTCCAGTGCTGTGCCCAATCTGGCCTTGCAATAAGCTTCTATCAAAAGCTGGGCAAACAATATTCCTTACAAACCGGTGTTTCCGTTTCTACCAAAGTGGTAATGTTCATTTCTTCTTTATCTTTGCAGATCAGTCTTCAAACTTGGATTTGTCACGGATCCCTCTACTGGTGAGTCAAATGGTTTTACTTGTGCCCATTTGTCACCTGTGATGGTGAGCCAAGCTATGGTGAAAGCTTGACTTTTCTTTGTCCTTGGGTCACTGTTTGCCTGACTCTCAACCCTAGCCCCCAAATCTTCAGAATCCTGGCCAAACCTGTGTCTAATCTCCTACCTGGTTTATCTCTGTATGTTCCACACCTTGAGACAAGTTCTTCTCAAGACACAGTTGCATTGCTAAAAGAGCTGTGTACATACCAAGTGTTTATGAAGCGTGCATAAATGTTTAAATTCCCTACACAGTTTTTATGTTCAAAGGCGTCCTGTTATACAGAGACAAATATATCTGAAAAAAAATCATTTCTTTTTTGCCATATTCAGAAAGTGACATTGAAAATATATGTTCAATGATGAAAGCGTTAATACTGTAACTCCTTTGGCTTGGGATATTGTTGAAATGTTGGGTACAAGATACAGAGTTTGCTCAAGATTGGAAAAAAAAATCAAAATGGAACATATTTACAGACTTGTTAAATATTCTGGTCTCTTCTTCTGAGCATGTTTTGTTGTTTTTGAATGGGATGTTTTCTGTTTTTTTTTCTGAAAGGGAGGTTGATTTGGAGTTTTGTTTATGGGAATCACAGTCCTAGGGGATGTGATAAGAAGCTTGTCTTTTGTTTCTACAAAGAAAAGAGTTCATGCTGGAGACTGAGTTGTTTCTTGCTTTGCAGAAAATATTTCTTGATGCATAAGTACAGAGTGGAAATAATAAACATACTCAGAAGGCACAGTTAACATAACACGTTTTTCATACCCACACATTTTGCCTGTACTTCTAGCAATGGTTTGGGTGGGGGGAGAGAGAGAGAAATACTTGAGAAATATAATTCACTTTACAGAAATTGGTTTCCTTTTTGTAGTTTTTTTTTCCCCCATATTAACACCTTTGTCAGTGTTTCACTGCCTCTTTATGCGCTCCTGGAGAAATAATTTTTGGATTTTCTGGGGCAGCTGCGATTTTCTGTCCCATTGTTCCCATTGTTGTGTTTGGCGTCTCAAACCTTGCATTCTCATTTTTGGGTTAAAAAATAAAGGGAATACATGCATTCTACCAACCTCTTCACATATTCCTCCATCCCTTCCCACAGTCCCATCAGCATACATCAGGAACGCCTTACTATTTTTACTTTTGCTTCTAAGCCAATTCTATTTCTATTTTTCCCATCCAAGTACAATGTAATCACTTTTGGATTGCCAGCGCATTGTTGAAAACCTTGGTATATGCAAACACTTTTTATGTTTTAACATCATAAAAAATAAAATCAGAATTTCAATTATATTTAAAAAACATATTGCAAGCATCTTAAGAGTCCGAAATGCCATCTGAAGTCAGTTGCAGGGAACACATTGTGTGTTCCTCAGCATACCTGTGGGGAATTATTTACATTGGACCCTATTGTTTAATCTGATTTAATTGCTAGCATCAACACAGAACAGAGCATCCAATGTTTCAGTCCAAGTGTCCATGTAGCAGGGAAATACTGCATTAACTTCATTTGAAATCATATATTATTATATATATTATGAGGCAGAGCCATGTGTCATTTCAGCAAAACCCATTCTTCAAATATTCTGTAAACCAGCAGAAAGTTAATAGTGTTAACAACACACATATTTTTCACCCCTTTTTAAAATTTTCATTTCAGTTAGGCAAGTTTCTGTATTTCACGTATATGGCTTTAGGAACATAGTGACACTCTCCCCACCCCCACCTTTAATGGCCAATTTTGTTCTTTTTCCTGTGTCGTTGTCATCGTTGTTTGTTTTGAGTAGTATGTCCAATGTGAGATTGTTGAAATCTAAAAGATGTACTCTCAGAAGCACAGTCGATGAATGCTTCATTTCACTGAGAGGCTGAAACGCACTAATTTGGAATGAAAGGAAAATTTCTTTTCTCATCTGACACCTGCCTTTAATGTTAAGTATTGTAACAGCCACTTGGTAGTTCATATCCGGTTAATGTTAAGTTTTCTATATTGATGTCACATGAGTGCTGTCAAATTAAATCACCACATACTATTCTGAAGTGGGGGGATTCAACTACTAGCATCAACTTAAAAGGTATACCAAGATCAGGGATACAAATATTTCTCCTCCAAGCTAAGTCTGGTTCTTGGTCACTTTAACCAATCTGAACCAGCAATCTGATTTCCTCATTCAGTTTTGGAAAGTGTAGAATTCTCACCAGTAGTCATGCCCGCCCGAGGAGACAGCTGCAGCGAACTACTTGATCGCAGTATCCCAACCAGGATCTCAGCTGTCGTGGGGCAATCCAGTATCACATCTCCTTCATTATCAGGCAGAGTCCATTATGAAGTGCACTGCTGATGCAGTAACGGTATCGGGGTGCAGTTGTTGCAGAGGCAAGGGGGGAATAAAAACCTACACAGCAGCAATACTTTCTCCACCCACCTGTGCACCACTCCAAGTGTCACCATGGAAATTCAACTGCAGTCCTCTGAACACTTAGGATTCTTCTCAATCCTTTCTGGCTTTAGCGGTTATGCACAGCAGTTTTGGGAGAGCCTAATTTTCCTGTCCTATCTTCCTTGGCACCGTTACAATGGACCATGTGCTGAGGTGCTGAGGTGCTGAGGCAGAACTCAAGATGGAGCCCTACGCCCCATAAACACACAGGTATAGATTTAGGAGATTCAAAGTTTGACCTTAAAGCAAAGGAAAGGAGACCACAGTTGGAGCAACATTAGCTACGCGGTTAAACTCATAGTTCTTTTTTGTTGCTTTCTTACTGGAACTATGGTCTCTATAGGTTAAACAGCATCATTAAAAGTCAGCCTTCGCTTCTGAGGCTTAGACCACAGACATCTAGGTTATAGTTCTTGAAACACGGCCTGTTGGCATTGACCTCTAGTAGATTTGAACATTCCATGACCACTTGATGATATTTGATGATCTCCAATGCCTTTGACTGCAGTGACTGGGACATGCAGGTAGTTCTCTCTGGGTACTAACAACGTTCTACTGTCGTGTGACATCATAGCACAACCCTTCTGAGGATGATTTGAGCAATTGCTGTTCATCTAAATCCATTATTAATTTTGACCACATAGGGTGCTGTCAGTTGGAATAGATCTACCTTCTGGACATTGGCAGGTTCACACAGGTGCGCGCAATACCTCTATCACAAGTTATTGCTCTTCCTCGGAGCCTGAGACTCCTTTCTGACATCCCTGTAATACACAGTTAGATTTCAGAATCATTAAAATGGGAAAAAAGTGTTCCTCTCAGAATTGAGGAAACAGAGCAATTAACATTTCACAGAGCAAGTAGCTCCTGTATAAACACACACACATGCAAAAGACCCAAGGCTCCGCATCCGCTCCTGTCCCTGCAGAGAATTCTACCCGCGGTGTCTTCCTTGCTTGTATTCTCATCCTCTTCAGCTATTTTCTTTCTTCTTTTCCCTCTCCTGGACAGTTGGGTGTGTATGCCTCTCTCTCACCATTTCTCTTTATCCTTCTCTCTGGGAGAAAACACCATGCCAGTGGTGTTTGCACAACACTTTTTATTACAACCTGCAATATGATTGTTTGGGGTGGGACTATCTGTAACTAGAAGAACTCTGTGTCCAGCCCAGGAGAGTATGTCTGCCTGTGGCCCCTGTGTGACTATTGACAGGGCCCTGCCTAGCCCCCAAAGAGTCCCAGTGTGATTGATCAGTTCCATGAATGCATAAGAGGTCCCAACCAAATCAAAATTCTTCCTTGTGGATCATGTACCTACAAAGTCCTTAAGTCCATCACTGTGATGTCAGAGGGCTGGGGGCGTGTCCTTTTCCTTCTGGACAGCTGAATGTCAGTTACCCAAGAACACCAAAGTGGGGGCGGGGAAGGGGGGAGTTGGCAGGCTTCAGTTGGAAGATGGCAAAAGCAGCTGCAGACAGATCTGCTATGGTAAAGAACAAAAGCCAGGGAGGTAGGAAGGAGGCAGACCTCAAATTGAGAAGGCAGGAAACCAGGCAGGAATTCCCTGGGCGTGAGCAGCCTTAAGGGGCTGCAACTTGGCTCTTAGGAAGTGAGAAATCTGTTTTGTATCAACACCACCGTGACTGCAGTGCCTCTGTGGTATTTTCCCGAGTCTTTCCCATTGGGAATTTTCTCAGTGCCTGACAGTGTTATTCTGAGCGATGTCGTGCTCTCCACTGTGCGACTACAGGAAGGCTTCCCTCTACCCTGAGGCTAGATTGTAACACAGAACATCCTATTCCTGGGAGACAAGCTCACCCGGAAGCATCGGGGACCCCAGCCCCAGGGGAAGGCAAGGTTGAACAGGACAGATCCCAGCAATCTGGAGACACCACGGCAAGTGGCGTGCTGTGCGTGGGTGACAAGGACAGTGTTCCTCGCTGTCTGTCCCTCTCTGCTTTCCTCTCTCAGGACTCTGCCGATGCTTCCACGGGTTTTCTCTCTCTTCCTCCGGTGGTGCTCAGCCTCCTATAGGCTAAGGCTTACCACCAAGTGTAGCACGGCTTAACATGCGATGGCACCCCTCTTGCCTCTTCATTTTAAAGTTAAGCACAGTGAGTATTTGAAGTGCTCTACAGGTGGAACCAGAGGAACATTAAGTGAGTTTTGAACCAGAATTATTTTTATTTATTCATTTTTAGTTTATTTGTCACTACCAGCTGTTCAGGTAAGCATAGATATTTTCTGGCAAATAAGCTTTAAACGACACCCCTCTCTCTTCCTCTCCATCTTCCTCCCTCCTTCCTCCCTTCCCTCCCTTTCTCCCTCCCTCCCTCCCTCTCTTTCTCCCTCCCTCTTTCTTTTGCTTGCTTGCTCACTGTCATAATTTGCTGATGATCCCTAAGTGCAAAGCTTGCAAACTGGGTTCCCCACAGGGGAGGAAAACAAGGAGGCGTGGTGATTGGCAGATGTGGGTTGCAGGTTGTAGGGAGAACTGTGCTTGGCCAGGGAGCCCTGTGTTCTAC